TGGGGGGTGGGGGGGAAGGAGTCCAGCCAGGCAGCAGATGCAGAATTCTGCCAGGTTTTGAAAAAGCAATGAAAATGAGATGCATCCTGCCGCCCTCTCCCGCTTGCCAATCTGTCTGTCCAGCTAGGAAAGGGAGGTGCGTCTCACCTGGGCTCTCCAGCAGCATCAGTGTGGAGAGTGGGTACCAGATGTCTGGCCTCTGGCGCGTGGTTCTGAACTTGGCCGGTGAGCCTGCGGGAGTTCAGACCCCACCTTCCGAGGACGTTCCCGCCTCTGGGGCGGGACCTCCTCGTCCCTAGGCCCCAGGATCCACACCCGGATCCTCCAGGCTGGACTTCGGATTCGGATTGGCGGAACCTGGAGGAAGAGGCGCAGGGGCCCTGGAACCCGAGTAGTCAGAGCTCTGGGCTCAGCTCTGCGGACCTTATCCACTGTGCCGGCAGGCTTGGGTGTGGCTCCAGCGCCTGAGGGACAGCCAAGAGCTCCGGGCCCAGCCTTGAGACGTTTGAAGGTAATGGCCACAGTCATCTTCGCTGTCTCCAACAGTGCACCGCAACCTCTTGATGCTTGGACCCGCTTGGCTGCAGCAACAGGCGAATCCGGCCGGATGGCGCACCAGCTGCTCTTGCCTGAGATGCACCAAGAGGACCCAATCTGCACTTGGACCCCTTTTTCCTATAGGCCCTGGATAGCTACCCCAGCTGCGTTTTCATAGGGCCCTAATGGCTTTCTCTGGAGCATCCGCTGCCTTCCGCCTTTACCAGTTGTGGATCGCAGCACATTGCCAGGCCAGGGCAAGTTCCCAGACGTTGGACAATATGCAGTCGCATGCAAGGTAACTGCCATGGAAGGTGGGGCAAAGCAAGAGAGATGAACCGGCTGTGAGCTGGAGCCCATAAGGCCATGTCCTGAGAGACCTGCGATTTCCACTGTAGTGGGTTGGTGGGAGATGGGATAGAGTTTGGAGAGGGAGGTTTGGTAGCATGGCTCTCCTATGTGGGGTCCTGAAGTTTGAGTCCGGGTGCAAAGCGCCTTGATTTTGGAGAGAGAGAGAGTCCTCGAGGAACTGAAAGTGAAAACAACCAAAATTCCTGCTTCCTCCCTCTCATTCATTTGTTCCTTCATTCATTCACATAAGTGTTCTGAACCTGGCAGGAATCAGGTGTGCACACAAAGGCAAGAAAGCTCCAGAGTCTGTTCTGGGGTTTGAGGATCTGTTATAAAAATAAATGGGTGCTTGGAGAGATGGTCCAGTGGTTAAGAGCACTAGCTGCTCCTACAAGGGACCCAGGTTAGATTCCCAGGACACACATGGCGGCTACCAACCATCCAAAACTCCAATTCCAGGGGATCTGACACCCTCTTCTGACCTCCGTGGGCGTTGCACGGCATGGGCACACTTATGTATATGCAGGCATAGCACTCGTACACATAAAATAAAAATATTTTAAAAAGTAAATGGGGGGTGGGGAAGGATGGAGTGGAACATCCATCAGAACCATGGGTGATGATCCCATGGCAAACCTGTTCTTTTATGGAAAAAGGCCACTGATAAAGAGCGATAAGGCACATGGTAAAGCCCAAGCACCCACACAGACCTTAGTGAAACTACACACATTAAGGGCTGAGAAACAAATTTTAAAAGCTACTAAGCTCAGAACATAGATTATCCAAAAAGCACTCAGTCAAACCAAGCTCACAGGGCTCAAAGACACTGGTATGCAGGGTCTCCAGGGGGGGTACCTTGAAAATGACATGTTTACAATTCAGTATCCAATTGTGCTTCTATTCACTAGTCAGCACAAAAAGAAGGTATCCTCAGAGGTGCAAAGCCCAGAGCTACCACCCACTAACCTTGGTCAAAGAGCTAAAGAAGACAAAGGCACTGAAAACATGCTGTGCTAGGCAACTAGTATATACTGACACTCACCAGTTTGGAGAGTTCTCTGGAAAAGAAAGAGGGAAGGAAGAAAGGCTGAGGAGGAAGAGTCAGACAGGATGAAGACAGACTCGTTTACAAGAAAGTTTTAGCCAAGCACATAGGGAGTCTGGAAGCTTCTAACAAGGGCTTGTCTTGCAATCCCAGCGGGGCCCGACTGGAAGAAGCATGGCATGGTGGTCCTCTTGATGGAGATGTGGTCATAGAGTGTGGGGGTGGGAACACTCAGAACACTCCTCTCCAGTTACACACACACACACACACACACACACACACACACATTCAGATCTGAATGGTGGCACTGAACATTACACCTATAGCACCTGGTAAAACAGAGTATATCCCTTAAAGATCAAGCTACATACCTCTGGAAGAGACATATCTAATACATGAGAACATGAAAAAGTTAAATGGGAAAATGTGGGAAGTGATGACGGGCAAAGATGGTGGACAGACTAAAGGAAATGAGGTCTTCAACACTAGAAACTGCTCTTAGGGCTAAAGAGTTTATAATGATAGGACTTCATTCTCCAGGAAAACAACAAACATTCTAACTCGCATGTGTCTATAAAATGCAACAAGTAATAAACTAGAAACTATTTCGTCAATTTTCTATTGCATTGAGAAATTGAATATAACACACATATCAAAATTTAGAAGATTTAAACAGCAAGACAGGGCCATTGTGGTCAGATCCCAGGTCACAGTCTTTTGTGGCCCACTTATTTCCTACTTGTTTCCTCCAGGTTTCTAGATGGTTCTGTACCCAGCATCTTGGCCCCCATCTCAATTGTCACTGACCCTCCGTCCACTGGCCTCTAGGAGTCACATTCTCAAACATGTGAGCAGTCCACCCAGAGGCTTTGCAAAGATTGCCACTGTAGCACTAGGCTCTCAGCCTTGCTGATCAGAGTGACCTTCCTTTGCTGCCCTAAGCATTTGGCTTCCTCCTAGTCTGTGGAGAGCTGAGTTTGCCTCAGTGTGGTCCTGGGTAGATTGGGCTGACCTTTAGGCCCTTCCTGGTTGTCAAGAGAGGGAATGGGACCTGGATCTGAGAGGAAAGACCTGGACTCCTTTCTCAGCCCCTCCTGCTGGGCTTGGGGTGAACCTTGAGCCCACTCAACTAGAGCAGTGGTGCAGCCAGCAGAAGATTGGGGGGAGCTCTGGCTGGGCTCCAAGCTCTTCCTTCCCCTGCACACCTTCCCAACATCCTAGGCTGCAGAGGAGTCAGGGCTTTTCTATTGGTTTCCTGGGCAGGGTACACTCCTGGGTTGGTGAGGTGCCCAAGGTATCTGGGGTTGATAAGACCAGGGCTTTCTGGGTTGGGTTTCCTCTGCCACCCCTGGTTTTGCTCCCTCACTTCCCTCCTCCTTGGACATGATGGTTTGGGGGTACATGGCCCCAGCCTACAGTCTAAGCCAGGCCAGCCATCTAGGAAGCCTCCTTGGCCACAGGAAAAGATGTTCCTGTGAGGTAGGTCCAGTGGGGTCAAGTGTAGTCCCTGGGGTGGATGGAAGGGCTGTCAAGCCAAGTAAGGATGTGAAATACATTTGAGCTTCCTGGAGCAGCTTGAGATAGCATGCTTCCAGGCAACAACAGTCTAAAGCAAGGAGTGCACTGCTAAGAAATATCCATCCCACTCAACGCGGATGTCTGTGACCTCCTCACTGGAACCTGCTCCATAGGGCTATACACAGCCACCTGCTACCCAAGCTCCAGGTTTTAGCCTATGTAACTCCACACATCCAGCAGTGCAGTAGGAGCATGCAGACTTTTGTTAAAATCTCTGTGTGTATGTGATCTGAAGTTTTTATTTAATAAGAGAAAAGCTGTGCAAAGAACAAAACAAAAAGTTCATCAACGTGGGCCTCATATTTCTGGACCAATGTCAGGAGTAGCATGTGAAAGGACTTCTTGTTCTCTGAGGCACCCACAGTTACTCTGAGAGTCTGAAAATGGGGCCAAACCAAATGTTTGAGTCCTCCAAGGGATTAAAACACTGAGGTACAGGGTCCATAGTGAGGCAGCTCAGGATGGCGCCACCCTCTTCTCTGGCCTGTGTGCCTAGCACCTGGGTGGTCATGCAGACATGCCTGGTCAGGTTGGATGGTTCAGTGTTTCATGCAAAGCACAGCTGTGATAGAGTATAGGATGGCAGTCAAAAACAGAGACAAGGGTCATAGGATGCCATAGATGAGAAATTCAAGTGCTTTTCTTTGTAAAAATTTAAGGAAGAAGACTAAGATAGACTTCGCAGCTCAGAAATTAGGAGAAAAGGGGAGAAATTTTTACACAGGATTTTGTATTCTCCTGACCCTTTGGGACAGGTAAAGATAGAATCCTAGAAGTACAACTCATCCACGCCTCACCTCACGACACCAAGGAGGTCTGTCCTGGCAGGTGCAGCAGAAACACATCTCAAGTAGTGAGAAGCATCTCCCTAGGCGACAGATTTGCTGATCAACAACAAATTCTAACTCTTCTTTTTAATTAAAATCCTAGACTTGATACACAGGATACAGCACCAAAGACCTGAGTCTTGGCTCTGTGGTACCTGTGAGATCTGCTACATGGGTTTGAGTGACAGTGGAGCTCTGGGGGCCCAGGCAGGAGGGAACAGCCACAGCCTCGAAGAAGGACTGGAGCACCTGGCTAGGAAATGGTGGCACTGGGAGGAGTAGGCTAGCGGCAGGCACTCCTGGCTAGGTGGATGGCTGTCCTTGGGGCTGGAGGAGCCATGAGCACAGAGGGCCTTCAGGAGGGCAAAGTTGGTATACTCCCCCTGCAGAAAGAGAAGAAAGTCAGAGCACTGAGATACCATTGGAATCAGGCCCAGAAGGCTGTGCGCCTGACTAAGGGGGAGCACCAATGGCCCTGCACCATAGGGAAGGCCTGGGTGAAGCTCCTCCTCCCTCTGGGTACTGTCCTCCAGCCAGCACTCTCCCCCCAGACCAGTGCAGGAAGCAAAAGTCTGACTGGTTGGGAGACCTGGAAAGAGCTACAATCCTAGTTTTGGAGGTGTTTGGCTCTTTTGCCTTATCCAGCAGAAAAGATGCTGTGGGTGTGATTAAGGATTTGGGGGTGAAAGATGTGCTGGAGATATTATAGGACTGTATGCAACCCCCTAGAGGGAGATGATGCCAGGAGCAGTTAACAGGCGGGGGCCTCCTGGAAGGCTCTATTGTGCTGGCTTTGCAAGTAGAAAAAGCTCCATGCACTAAGCCAGGCAGAGGTTTCAGCTCTAAAGGCTGGAAAGGACAGGGAAATGGACTCTCCCACAACTTCAGC